GTGTAGGGATGTCAGCACTTGAATAGACAATTGTCATAGTCTGACACAACCAGGGAACATGACGGACCTCAAAAAAAGTTGGTTTCAAAACTAAAGGCTAACACTAATTTTAAAATATAAGCAGGTAACCTTTCTACACAACAAGCTAAAAGCCTTCAGAGGAAGCAGTTTTAAGGAGAGTCCCAGCAACACGCTCCAGAAGTTATGTCAGCAGACATAACCTAGTACACAACCTACACAGAGAAAGCCAATGCGAAACAAGCCTTACGTGGACGGCCTCAGCCACCCGGTGATACTTGGTCTCTTCAGTAGTGAGGCCTTTGTGTGGAGTGTAGCCGGCATCTCTCAGCCCTGCCTGCTGCTCAAAGCGCTGAATGCTCTCCTGAGTCTGCTCTGGAACAGACAAGAGCACATATTCACACAGAAGTGCCACCACATGCAGTTCTACCAAGCAAAGGCAACTTAAGCAACTTAATTTAAGACCTTTTTTTCATCATTCATACCTACGTGTCACGATGAGTTGACAGAGGCAGTAAGATGAAGTTAAATGAAATATTCTGACTTGAAAACTATCCTGAGTCATAGGGCTAAGTCAGATGAACAGTGATTTGTCCCAAATAACCAGACATATTACAAATACAACACCTGTGATTAATATACCCAAGAAACTATGTAACACCTAATTACAACTTCCTAAATCCAGGAGACCCCAATATGCTGGACGTTCTAAGTGGCTCTCTAGATCCAAGGGAGTTTTTCTGGCCAACAAAAAATGAAGTTTTCTGAAAGGCTGCCCACACTAGCTCACCTGACCATCACAGCCTTACAGAACAGGTGGTGAAGACTGTCAGTGATTTAGTAAAATAAACTATGTCAGCAAAACACAGAGCCAGCATCTAAAATGCTGATATCAACTTCAGCTCTGAAAAATAAGCACTTCCCCCCCGGCAACTACCAGCACAAAATGTTCACTCCTTAGTGAGGCTCAGAAAAAAGTCGAAAGGAATTAGAGTACAAGATTACAGGAAAAGCCCAATGTCTTATTTAAAATAAGTTAAGACTTTGCATGTTAATGCTAAACTTATTTGCAGGGATAGCACAGTATACATGAGAAATCTAGAGGATCTTTGTCTTTATTTCCAACTTGTTACTGAATCTTATTCCTGAGAGTTGCAGATTGGGGCTCCTAGCTTCTTACTGCACACACACATTTTCAGGCCATCATGGTTTTAATTAATGAGCACTTTGTTATTAGACGGGAAGAGGAGTTGCTTTCCAAAAGAAAGCCCATATTCCTAAATAACATTTTCTTATGTGTCAGTTATTTTTGAGCCAAGACTGAAATAAGCACAAATGTATAGCTGTTCCAAAGTGCTGGTCCGAAAAATCTAGAAGTCTTTGGAAGCACCGCTTGGAGGAAAAGATGAAGCTTAGATCCCAGCTGCTAAAAGAAGGAGCAACAGGGATAGATTAACACATGAATAATTCCTCTTGTTGCAAATGGGCACATCTTCTCCACAAACATAACTGACCAAATTTGATTTTAAAGCATCATGATTTATGAGGTTTATTTTTTAAAGTGTTACTGTTAGGCAAGACAGCTGCTGCTACTAACTAAAATAAACACCGGTAAGAGCTCCATTAGCACAGTGTGACAGCCTTCCACGCCACTTTGGCTAATTTTAGAGCTTTACCTGTCATTCAGAAATGGCAAGTCAATGAGCAAACAGAGTAACAGCAGCAACCACCTCTGCCCTCCAGCAACAAGGTTGTGTGGACCGCAGTGTCCTGTCAGCAGAAAACATACTCACACGCCTCCCTCACCACCCACCTCCAGCACCTGGGAACACACAGGGGCAGTAAAGTGTGGCCCTTGTTCCTTGCTTCCTTATAGAAGTATCCTCCAAAAAGCATCACATACTGCTCGAGAGCAGCATCAGTCTGACCCCATAATCTGTCCAGGAACTCAGGCAGTTACCTTGAACGTTATCAAGCCGGTTGTGTGCCCACACCCCATCAGTCACCACATTAGAGATGAGAGTTCTTACTTGTAATAAGAGAGTTCATGATGATATGAGTGGCCTTGGCCTTCACCACAGGCACCTTGTTGACACTTTCTGTGGACGATGAAGGAGTTATGACGGGTGCATTCATGTTAGCATCCCCTTCCTCAATCTGTGGGGTGAAGCAGCACACAGCATGTAGAAGTTCTCAACACCTTGCCAGGTGATAACTACTCAAATAAGACAGAAGGCTGAGATGCCCCAGGAGTTAACCTTCATCCCACGGAAGAAACGCATACGCTGTTCTCACCACACTGTTCTCACCACAGCCCAGGAATGGTTAGAGCTTGAGCCTTCGAATCCTGAACAGCAAACAAGCAACTTGCATCCAACATTTGAAAACCTACCAGACTCAGAGCCAGCAAGCTGTTATTCCAAGTACAGAAAAGGTCAACAGGAAAAACAAAACAAACTATCTATTTCCATTCACTAACTGCAGATTGGACTTCAAGGTCAATTGGACAAGAGCACCCTTCCACAGACAGCTCAAACTATTTACAGAGTGGCAGTCTCAGAGATTAGAGGCTGATGTTTACATCTTGTTTTCCTCCCCTCACTACTTATATCACTTTCTCATGCAGTGTACCTCGTGGTCATACTCTGCTGCTGATCACAAGCCCTCAGCAACAAAGGGCCAGACAACTAACACTAGAAAACGAGAAATTTTGTGAAACACAGACTTCCTGCTCCTAACACAGGAGCTGCGGTCCCCTGACTGGACAGGTTGCTTTTTGTGCCAAACCACAACTTTTTATTTTCTTCCACAAGAAAGGTTTTTAAAGCAAAATGAGGTGAAAAGTAGATGTTAAGCACAAAGGGATGCGGAGTTATTTACTTCTGCTCAACAACATTCAATTTCACTTCCAACTTCAAACCCAGCCTCTAAATTCGAAAGAGCTCATCCTCCGCTGAAAGCATCCCCACAGTAATTTCACCAGGTTGGAAGGGCCCTGCCAAGATCACCTAGTCTGGCCCTCGTGCTGCAGACAGGGACACCTTTCACTAGATCGAGTTGCCTTGAGCCTTGTCCCACCTGATTTTGGACACTTCCAGGGATGGGGCACCCACAGCTTCTCTGGGCAACCCGTGACAGTGCCTCACCACCCCCATCCTGAAAAACTTCACAACCAACCTCAGTCCAACCTTTTGCTCTGCTCTAACGGCACCTGGTCACAACTCGCAGCCTTTTTTCACTCACAAACCCCTCCCACAAGCCACCAGACTGGC